GGTGATCCAGAGTGCGAACAGTGAGTTGTGTGGGCGCCCAGTCGCCATAGCCAGTTGAAGAGAACTCATATCTGGTTACAATATCTTGAGTATTGTGTGGGCGCATGTCGCCAGTTGCTGTTTCGCTGTTTGCATACATGACAAGTTGAATAATCAGAAGTGTGATCTCATATCCTAGAGTTCAGTCTCATGTCCATGATCACAGGCTAGTGGTCCGACAATGGGTCGGGAAGCACTTTTATCTCAATTGCCACTTCCCAAGCTTCTCCCTTCGTCAATACTAAATCCAGTCGTATCCGTGGAGGAAAAGTTGATGGCTGAGATTGGTTGTCTGAGCGCTGTGGAGAAAGCCACGTGTAGCCTGGGGTGTCTAGGTGCATACGGTGAGAGGCATTTGTGAGCTCATTTGCCTCCATGAAGCAGGATAGTAATCACGCATCAGTTTTAACAGGCTCCATATCCGGAGAATCAAGACCTGGCTGGCGTACGGTGTTAAAGTCACCGGCCAATACCAAGTCTTCCCCTGCTGGAACAATACTGTGGAGATCTGAAAAAAAGGATTTCCACTCTCCGGACACCGATGGAGCATACATGGACATAAGGGTCCAGGTTTGCTCCCCTAGTCAAACTTTTATCCAAACCCACTCGCCCCAAATGTCCGATTCTGTTTCCAGAATTTCGGCATCCAGTGCTCTGTGGATGAGGATAGCAGTACCGCCTTTAGTCCCATCAGCAGGGGCCCACCATTGTGGGCCCTTCCACCAGTTGGAAAATTGGGAGATCTTGGGTTCGTCCAATTTTGTCTCTTGCAGGAGGATGATTTGGACTCTGTGGTGATGTATCCACGATTTTAGACGAGCCTTCTTTCTTCTTGCTAATGAATCTCCTAACCCACGCACGTTCCATGTGGCAATCCTCAACCTATCCATTTGTAGACCTCATGGCAGTAGTTGATTGGATCCGCTGGTCTTCCGCAAAGTTTCTGCTTCCCTTTCTTCTTCTTCCTGTCGTATATCCTTCTCCTTCTTGGCTCACATCCCATTGAGTTAGGAGGAGATTCCTGAATTTTGGCGCCCATGGTTGCTTACCTAAAGGTAAACATGTAGAGAAGTCCGCTACCAATTTCGCATCCACATCATCTGTGATTTGAATTTTCAGAGCCTCTGATGAGGCATCTGAGTCAAACCACTGGGGGGGAATCCACTGAATTCCCTGTGATTCGAGCATAGCAGCTTTTTCGTGTGTAATCTTAATATCAACAACTGTGAGGTGAAATTGGAACTGTGGACCCTTTGACACGTTTACCGTTTTCCTGCCTACTCGGATTTCTGGCACGAGTCGGAACAGAAAGCGACCGGCACTAATTTTGGCTATAGCTGCCCCAATAGCGGCTTTGGTGTTCGGAACTCCATCGATCTTCATTGATGGGAGGAAGAGCACGCCTCCCCTGGATTTGCCAACCATAATTTTGATACCCTGGGGAGCTAGAGACTTGCAGATTGGAACGAGGTAGTGGACTGTGTGTGGGTCTGATGGTCTAGTACCTCCTACAGGTTGTTTGCCTGTCTCTCTATTCATTCTGATTGCGCTCGACTGTCCTCCTTGTCTGGGCGTTGGTTGGCCTCGTGGTGAGGCAATGTCCACTGACTCAACCTCTCCCTCTGCATCCTCCCTTGTTGGTTCACTGGTACCTTCCTCTCCTATCCGCCCCAACTTAACTGGAGCCAGGAGTGTTAACTGATTTCCTGGATCTCGCATGATTTGGTCCTTGGGTAGTTCCAAGGCATTCCCGCTTACCAGCAATCCGGCAGGGTTTACATTCTGAGGGGGGTTCCCATTAACCTCTCCTGTTGGGAACATGAGTTCACGTGCACTCTCTGCTACGTAATCAGAGTTAATGTGGACTGTCACAAAAGAATTGTGAGTATGGCCATGGGGATTATTGCCCTGGGCTTCCTCTCCTCGGTCAGGTTCTATCGTGCTTTGAATGTTCTGACCTCCTTCCCTTACTTGGGCTGAGGAGGGGGCAAGACTGTGAAGTGGCCGCAGGGGTATTGCACTCTGCAGTGAACCGGGCCGTAATGAAGGCCAGGCCTGTCCTAGCGTTCGTTCATGAGAGGCACCATGGGGAGGGTTTGGTCCACCCATCTGCTGATGGAAGGCCGGATTGGATTGCCAGGAGAGTTGTGAATTCGGCTGGGTCAAAACCGGCTGCGAGACCAGGCGGGGTTAGACCACGGGTGAGTCGGCCGAAGGGGGGCAGAGGAAAGAGGGAGGGGTAAGTTGTCATTCTCAGGGGGGGGACACACAAATGGGTTCAAAGGGAGAAAATCTGGGGGGCCAATCGCGAGTGGTCCAATCGCCCCCACTGGTGGCGGAATTGCGGTTGGCGTAAAGGAAGTATTAATTAACGACCTCCTTCAGTCGTTGTTTCCCGGGGGGGAGAGCACAGCACCCAGGCCAAAAAGGGGCCATGCCCTACCATCTTGAGGGCTAGGGTGGACATCCCTGTAGTCGCAAGGGGGCCTGTAGGTGGGTGGAGCGGGTAGTGCTGCAGGTGAAAGCCTGTCTGCTGGGGGCGACCTTGTGAGTAGATAACTAGGGCTTGTGTTACAGGGGTCTGGGTTCCACTTCCCCGGGTATCCCATCCCGTACCTACCCCTGCTCCCTGTCCACTTCCATCCACTCTTGGTCCTCCACTCCCGCTCTGATTTCCCCCATTGTTATTTTCACTTTCGTTCCTCCTCGCACTCCCCCCTCTAATCATACCGCTCGTGTTCCCCCCACCGGTTGTACCACGCCCATTTCTGCCATCCCTATTCTGCAATCCCCCTCCTCTGCTCCAACCACTGTGATTATTACCATCTCCTCTGTCACCCCTTCCCTCGCCACCTCCTCTGTAACTTCTTCCTCCCTCCCCACCTCCTCTTCCCTCTCCAAAGCCACCCTCTCCTCTTTCTCCAGAACCTCCTCTTCCTCCATTGCCTCTTTCTTCCCCTGGATTTCCCCTTACTGCTGCGATTGGTTCACCCCTCCCCATGAACCCTCCCCTGCCTCTGCCCCTACCTCCTCTCCCACGACCTCTTCCTCTTCTCCCTTCGGGCATCGGTTTGTTGAACCTCGGACAGTCAGGGTTGAATTCATCATGAAACCACCACAGGCACTTGTTACAAAAAGGCGTATCCTGGTTTGCAAATTGGACTTCCAAGAAGCCTCCACTCAGTTTCCTGACCACCACCCATTCCATGAATCTGTCCTTCACCTCCGGAACACAGTCAATACGGACGTTTCCTAATCTCGGTTCCTCTGGCTGCTTCTCCGGAGGATGCATGATCAGGACCTTTCCCATCAACTTTTCGATTGCAAACCTGAGTGGAAAGAGAGCCTCTAATGGAACTCTAAGAGCAATAATCCTGTATTTACCTGCCAGTTCGTTCTCCCCCGTGGTATCCAACTCCTGTTTAGTCATCCAAGGTTTAAACAGGACTTTGATCGACCCGGTCCGTGTAGGGATCCTGTCCTCACCTTTTGCGACCAACCATTGTGCAATTCTCTCTGACCTAGCAACATAGGACATGATGTTTGGTCCTTCACCATGAGTTCTTCCAAGTTTTTGAGAAGGGTTGGCTGTTGGGTCGAGGTACCAAGCGTCCTCGTAAACACGAATAAGTTGTTCTCTTTGAGATACACTTACTGACATCACGGGTTCATCGAAAACAACTATTACCGTTCTGGATTTCAACCAGTTCACCATGGCTGTGTCGATTTCGTTACTTAACGTGAATATTCCAACTCCATCCATGATTTCGGTTACTCCGAAGTCAATATTCGTCTCTGGGAACAAACCATTGTCAAAACATATGTCAAGAAGAGATTTGATTCTTGTTGACTTGTCATTTTCCGAAGGAGCCGACGGTCCTGCGCCTCCGCCTCCCTGTCCACCACCGAGCGGGGACAGGGGGAGGGCCGAATTCATGCTGATGGGATCTAAACACACTGACTCCCGTCCCGTCCGAAGATATACGTATTGACCGAGCCGTCAGCTAATCTAAGCCCTAATTAAACCTTTTTTTTTTCCTCATGCTAATCTTCTCTGTATCGTTCCAATTTTAGCGGATGTCCCGAAGGACGCCCTAATTAAACCTAGGTTCGACTAAATTGAGCTGAATAAGCCAGCACGTGATTACGATTGGCTGCGGGCCCTAGAGTGAGCGTCGCGTGCAGTTAGCAAAGGTTTAGAGACCGTACTTACCCTCTCTAGGCTCACCAGCATTCAAGCCCTTCTTCTTCCATTGGGAGAGCCGCGCTGCCTTGGGCCGGTGGGGTTCCACAACTTTCCTCATCAGGGACGTGAGCGCCACGTCTATTCCGCATGCTCAAAGGAGTTTGACTCCCCACCGCTACTCCGCCTCCATTCCTCCTCCTCCTCCTCCAAAGGAGTTTGACCCGGCCATAGCTGGGTAGTCTTCGGCAGATTCCACCGGGTACGAGCCTTGTGCCCGACTCAGCGTTAGCGGCATTGGTTCTCCTGAACCGATAGCGCACTATGGAGCGCACCTGCGCCCGTCGCTACGCCCCTCCCCCTTCTCTCATTTTTGTTTGTTTTCTATGTACTTGTATTCGAATGTGCGCCATCACGACGGGAGACCTGCGCTAAACGACGAACCGGCTAGAGTACGTGAAACCCTCCATCCCACAAAACTCTGCCCTGCATGGACTCGACCTCACGCCGGGTGCGCACAAAAAAAAATAAAAAATAAAGGCCCGGCAGACTCAACTCCCCGGGACACCATCTCTCCCACCCACGCACCGCATGGACCTCATTTTCGCTGGGCCCATTGGCAGCGTCTTCCGAGGCCCCCCTCACAGTTTAAAGGTTACATTGATTATATGTGTGTTATCTTTCCCATTTGTGAGTGTGCCAGGCATAATCTCTGTACCACTGCAAGTAATGTTGCACTAGGTAACATATTGTTGGTTGCCAACTTGCTGTACATAACCTACACAACAAATAATTGTAGCATTCATTCATCCCTGCCTGCCTACCTACCTCCCTTGCTGATTGAAGTGGTGACTGCCACCAACTAGCTTCCTCTTCGCTTCAACCTCCTCCTTCCAAGCTTCATACAGTTTCTGATATTCCTTTTCCAGGAACACCTGTCCGAGTAATGGGATCATGCAATCTGGTTAGCGATGGGGTTAGCAATGGTGAAGCTTTTCATCTGATTCCAAGTTTGATCGATTGTATATCACGCATTCAAAGTTCAAATACAGGTAAGACTGCGACCTTTCCTCAATTTCGAACGCACTGGAACATCGAGTCTGAAGCAAAGGAACAGAACAAAGGTTAAAACTACGATCTCCCTTCTAAAGAAACAAAACAAACGTCTTTTGCAATTGTCTGACCAACAAAGAAAGCCACATTTCTTCAGCATCCCTTCACCGCCACAGGATCAGCAGAGAAAATTACCTAGCCTCCTGGGGGAGGAGCCTCTCCAAAATCTGGGGATTACGGTCCATAAGGATGGAACTCGCCAGGGATGGGACAACACCTGATAGCCAAAGGAGTCGCACTCCTGGCTCCATGCAGAAAAGCCCACCTCTCTCCTGGGCACAGTACTGACTATCAGTGCATCAGTCTTCACCATACTGTGGTATTTGGCATCTATATGGTCTCCAACTGATGAAGTGCTAAAAGAACTTAATACACTGCATTCAGACAATTCTTATGGACAGGGTATTCAAACGAACAGTCCTGTAACCCAAAAAAGGCCAAAAGTAGCATGGCCGTACATTACTCAGAGAACTAAAGAAAGGGGGCAAGGGAACGGGTAAATCATTGATCCAAAACAGGAGGCAATTGTACTTCTGCAATCAGACTCGTTTTCAAACACACTTTTCACACATGTAAACAGTAACGCAGCATACTGGCGACATGCGCCCACTCAAACTCCGAGATATTTCACTCCCAATTGGCTATGGCGACCTCAGCGCCCAAACATCTCACTGCTCACATACACGGGATCACCCTGGATATCCCACATGCATCACTCTAACACTCGAGCACACACACACTCACTACTAACTACAGCTATGGCAGCTATGGCTGCCTCTAACCTATCGCTATGCTAACTCCTCCTCTCTTGCCCACTGC